ATGAGGGGCCCAGAAGGACGTGGAGAGGTGGAAGTAGCTGTCTCTAGCATTGCAGGTCCGTTATGTTTAGCATGGGAATACTTCTTCCTTTCTGTCTGTAGACTAGATTTCACTATTTCATATGCCTTTAAAATACCTGTTGTTAACTTTTGTTGTTATTGTATTGGTTTGTTATAAGAAAGGGTGCACTGGGTACTCTCAACTAAGAAAAATATGATATGTTTCCGCCTTCCAGACATGTAAACTAAATATGCACATGTTACTATTCAGTCTTGCCTCTGCAGATACTGTCTATTGTAGTATTGTAGCACACTAAATTACATATCAGATTAGTAGTTTCCATTTTGAAATGATGACTGATAGTTCAACATGCAAAACTGTGTAGCAGATTGTTAATGACCCACTATCCTCCTGCAACGACTCAAATCCACATGCAAACTTGTAGCTTTCAATTGCTTGTAATGCATCTTGTCAACACACAACACATTCTCATTTGGATGTTCTTACTTTTGTTATTAGACCAGAGCCATGAGAAGTCAAAGAAAGATCCAGGAGATAGCTTTCGGGTCCTTGTTCACAAAGCAGCTTCTGCTGCATCAAAGCTAGCAAAGCATGCTTATGAGTCTGCATCTGCTAATAAACGAATGTACGATGAGCTTGTGCCTCTGAAGTGCTGCTTGATGTCTGTGTCTCTTCCTTGGGACTACATTGCCCATGATCTTTTGCACAAGGTGAGTTTTCTCCATTGTCCTGAATAATCTCAAAATTATCTTCTTTTTTGTTCTGTACTATATGGTAAGTGAATTGAACTTGCTGGATGCTTTACGCTATGATGAAGTTCGTCACAAGAAATGTCGACCTATATGCTTAAAAAATTATACTCGAATAGTCAGTTAGGTTGCCCTGTTTTGCTTGGCATAGCTTCATGCAATTGGCTTCATGTGTACATAATGTTGCTTTAAAATACATTACTTTGTGCTATGTACGTGAATGAATCATATGTGGATTATTTTGTGCTCATATTTGAATTAATCAACCTGACATATTGTTTATGTTAACCAAACTTATCTTTAACATGATTTGTGAAAGTTCTGAAAGATCATGGCAATGAACCAGGACACACCTCCATTGGATCTATGACAGCAATTCCAGATCTTCACTGCCAGCCATAGGATGATAGGAGGAATCCAGGCGTGATGAAATGTAAGATAAAGAATCAAAGTGGAAGCGACATGTACATGTGTGCTTTTAGACCAAATATGTAAAGTGTAGGGTTTGCAACGTACTTGCGCACAGACAATCATACAATGTAGATATGAAGTTGTTATTTCGTTGTTCTATCTTTATATAAGTAATCATACATAACATAGCCTGCATGACTTACAGAACTTAATTGTGTTCCTTGAATGGAAGGTTTGTGTTTATAAAGACACTGTTGTCAAGTTTAATTGTAGGCCCTGTTGAAATCACTGATTTCATTCTGATCACGATTTTCTGATAAGCTGCGGTTCGAAGAAAATGCAGTACCTGCAGATAAGTAGGATGGACCTCAGATGCCTGTGTCTTCTATATTTGTGGGATACTGAGGTCATCCAAAGATAGGTCCGGGTCCACCTAGTCACCGTGTTTATCCAAAATCCACATTCAGACATTGGAGAAATCCTTCAAATAATGGAGGAAAAAAATCACTGCCACGTACCTTGTAGAAAAAGAATATATGTTCAAATAATGGAGGAAAAAAATCACTGCCACATACCTTGTAGAAAAATTTAATTACAATATATTCCACCAATTTACATCACATAAATAACATATGCCTTGTATTCAAGAAAAATGATTAAATTAATCATTCATGAACATTTACATTATATGACTTCAAGAAGAAAACTCGTTGTACTGTATTAAATTTAATTACAAGCTATTCTATTCCACCAATTAAAGAGAACATGTTATATGCATCACGTAAATAACATAAAAAATACAAAGAAATTGATATTCATCTCCAATACATGAAAACATGATTAAATTAATCTTCACATTCATGAACATTTACACATTATATGACAACTGCAATACATAAATAACACTTGCAATCTACAAGAACTTTCTTGCGCCCTCGGAAACCCCTCCCCCAAACCACAACTGTCCTTGGCTTGGCCATGGTCATCCTTCATATGCGCACTCGGCCTTGGCCAGGCCATAGCCAGCCTATAGCCGGCCATGGTCACCAGCCATGGCTAGCCACCCAGCCATAGCTAGGCAGGCCAGTGGTGGCCACAACCAGGCGGACCAGTCCGGCTATGGCCATAGCCTGTAGAGCTACTAATTAGCGAATGTTCAATGGATTCCAATCCAGCGAATCATTAGCTACTCCCGCAACTTTCGTTGTTTGGGAAAAAAATATTACCAGCAACTTTCCACTTTTATAAAGTTACTAAGTTATATATATAACTTTTATGGATAATATTTTACGGGACATAACTTACTATTACAACTTATATTCATAACTTTGTCAATATAACATTTTGTAGAACATAACACCATAATTTTTTATTAATATATTTTTATGTGATTTTATAGACAACTTATATGACAACTTTTCTACATTATTTTATCATAATTATTTCTCCACATTTATTTTTTGGCATTTTTTTGTATAATAATTTTATGAATAACATAACTTAGACATATAAGTTTTTGTTATGTAACATGTTTTTACATAACTTTTTTCTGGACAAGTTTCTAAATCTAAAAAATTGATAGCATATAGAAGAAAAAATGAAAAATTGATATGTTACTATAAAAATTAAAAAAGAAAAAAATAAAAACAAAAAATGAAACCTAACTTTTCTATGTAACTTTTATGCATAATATTTTATGAGACATAACTTAATCATAACCTTCTCAATATAAGTTTTTAACAATATTTTATATACAATTTATCATGATAACTTTTTTACACAACTTTTTTCAACCTAACTCTGTTCATGAGTATCAGCGAGCAAACTTATTCATAACAATTTTCAACATAACTTACACAATAACTATAGTAATAACATAATTTATACACATAAGTTATTGTTGTCCAAAGTATTTTAAAAGATTACACACAGCTATCCAACATAATTTTTCTATGTTTTAATTTGTTCCAATCAAAATTTTCAATGTGTAAAAAATTATTCATAGTATATAGAAGAAAATTCTTCAAAAAAAGTATACTGAAGAAAAATAGATAGACTAATAAAAAAGAAAAGAAAAGACAAAGTAAGAAAATAAAATGCGATAAAGAAAAGAAAAAAAGTAGAAAAATTGAATGGACGTAAGTCCATGATCATGACCACGGTGAATCACTCAAGCGCAGAGTAAGAGAAATGGAGAAAAAAAAGAAAATGCTAAGTCTATACAGGGTGTACACATGAAAGTAAAAGCAAATGAAGAAGACACGTCCATGTATATTGTATAAAAAAATTGTTCAAACTTCAGCTAAATAGAAATTGGGGAACGGAAACCACGTGTCACCCGACACTATCTTCAAACATAGGCTCACCACGTGTCCGTAAAGATAGTAGATACGTTTGCACGGCACGAACGCTCGCCAAACTGGATTCTGGCATAGCCTGCCACAGGTGGTGGTTGGGGTTGGCCAGTGTGGCTAGGAAGGTCAGAGGCCTTTAGGCTTGGCAAGGGCTTGCTAGGGAGAGGCTAGAAAAAAGAGGAGAGTGAAAGCAGTTGATTTACCTCTTTCCTAGGGCAGTGGAGGCAGTGATCGGCTTCCAAGGGCAGCGACAACATCGTGGGTGGCGGCTTCTTTCTTTGGTGCGAGAAGGAAAAAAACATTAGGAGAAGTCGTGCCAACGTGGATTGGAAGCCCCTCCTATCTTTCCACGTGTAACGATCGATTTTCCCAAGTACAAGGAGGTTAGGAGTTGGGATAATGTTGTTGGGGAGAGCTTTTCTCAATCCCGCAAGAAAAAATCAAGATTGAGAGTGGGTTATGGAAACATTTGGAGATGAGCTTAATTATATTCCAACAAACCGCTGCATAGTTATGGGACATACGCAGTATAGTACATAATTGAGAGAGAGTTTGTACACCTAGGAGTAGAAAGGATTTTCCCGTTAGCTTATATAACTAGTTAAAATCTCATGCATACATATTATTGAAAATATAGTTATAGATACTCTATGATGAAAGTGGAAAAAATGTCACTAGGTTATTCACATCAGCGCCATGTCATTTGAAACCCACTATAAATAATTCGGGAGTTTATTAAAATGAACTGTTTTAATAGTTGAGAGTTGAACAGATGATTTCATAGTCCAAGGATAAAGATCAGATTGAGACCACAGCGGAGGGTTGCAATTATATATATATTTTCCGTTTGGTTTTGCTGCCTTTGGTGGACTTTCTAGTCTAGTGGTTTTTTTTCGTCGGGTGCCGAAATCCAAGCATCAGGAATGACTGCGGTCCTAAAAATGTGTATAACTCGTCCTGTAGAAGGCATCATCCATTTTGATGGATACTCGTCACGGAGTTTTCGTTCATATTTTTTTTTGAGTATTACACAGTACAACACAGAATCTCACAACGCGCGCACATTCACCCCTACAAACGGATGCACACAAATCCTACCCTTATGAGCTTGTCCGAAGGCTAGGCGCGCGCTGAAAGCACATCAAGACTGGTTGAACTAAAATAGGACCTGTAATAATAAATAATATAAAAGGCCAAGGCGTGTACATACAAGATGATTTTTTGGCGGTGACAGGAAAACAAAAGGGCATGCATGAATACATGCAAGATGCTTAAACATGCATGGCTTGTTAAAGAGAAAATCCTGCTTCATCATGAAGTACCTGTCATTCGACAGTCGACACAAATTGGTGCTTAAATATGTTTAACTGTGTTGCTAGCACACTTCAGCACTAAAGCAATCTGCTAACGGTCTTATCATATTTATATGCACGTGGTACTCTTTTTTTTTTTTGGCCAAGCACCTTCATTGTACACTCTCATCATCTGATGTAGTGGTTAGCTCTTGTCCAGCGGCTATGTCAGAGGGTAGCTCTAGTTGCGGCGGTGGATCTTCGAGGTGGCGGAGCGCAGTCATCGCTTGGTTCATGGATGGCCGGTCGCGGTAGTCTTCGTGCACGCACCACAGGCCCACAATCAACGCGCGCTCCATCTGATCTGCGTCGAACTCGCCATGGAGGCCTGGATCCGCTGCGTCAAGGAGGGCGCCTCGCCCGTACAGCTTCCAGACCCACCACACGAGATTAACCCTGTCTCTGTCTTGGTGCTCCCCGCGAAGGATTGGCGGCCGACCGCTGGCGAGCTCGAGGAGGAGGACCCCAAAGCTGTAGACGTCGGTTTCAGTGGTGAACCTCAACATGTGGCCGCTGGCGAGCTCTGGGGAAATATAGCCAATGGTTCCCAATACTACCATGGAGTCGTACTCAGTCGACTCAGTCATGCCTGCAAGCCCAAAGTCCCCCAGCCTCGCATTGAAGGATGAGTCAAGCATAACGCTGCTAGGCTTAATGTTCCCGTGCACGACAACCGAACTCCATTGACGGTGCAAGTAGAGCAAGGCGTCGCCTACACCAAGAATGATCTTGTACCTGCAATTGTTGGCCAACACGTCAAAGGGGAATTGAGTTTAAAACATGAGTTATCTGTGATATAGAGCTGTCAATGCAAGAGTCCTTACCTAATTGGCCATGTCAGGATGGATCCTGAACTATAGAGATGGTCTCTGAGGCTGCCTTTCGTCGAGAACTCGTAGACAAGTAAGAGCTCATCGGCTTCGTGACACCACCCAATCAACTGGGCAATGTTGCGATGCTTCAACTCACTGAGGAGGCTTACCTCCAGGATTTTCACTCTTGTTTTGGATGAAATGAAAACCCTTTTGATGGCCACCTGGAGCCCGTGCTCGTGGCAGAGCAAGAACCCTCGGTAGAACGACGACCCGCCAAACTTCTCAAATTCGGAGAATCCACGTGTCGCCTGAGACAGTTCCTTGTAACTGAATATCCGAAGCCCTCCAGGTAAAAGTTGAGTCCCTGGGTTCGCAGCCATAAATACCGTTGTTGTTAACACCACGTTGAACAAAAACATATCTATGTTAAGAAAAGCATCTATGATTCTAGGGAAACAAAATTTGCAAACCTTTTTATATTTTGCTAAAAGGGAAAATAGATATATTTTATTTTCTGAACAGGACACTCTATTTTACTTCCCTTTTATACTTCCTCTGTTCCAGAATGATAGATAGGCATATTTTGCTCAGATAAAAGTCATACGGAGTATATTTTAACCTTTATAGTTTCTCAAATATAATTTTCTTTATGAGCAATAGGGAACACCAATTTAAATGGATTCTTATGACACTCTATGGTCCAGCTTATTATTAGTACGATTTCAAAACAGGCTTTTTAGCTGAACTTCTTAGAGCATCTCTAAGGGCTTCCAAAACGTACTCTCAATCTTGATTCTTTGGCAAGATTAAAAAAATCTCTCTCCAACAACTCCTTATCTCAACTCTCAATTAATCGTTCTGCAGCTTGGAAAATCAATCGAATCACGCGGGAAGGATACGCGCACATATCCGGTTGGCTAATCTAGAGGTGAAAAAAATGCGGACAAGGAGAAAGGCAGGATTCCCAATACAAATGTATCTTTAACCCTTAGCCTAAGTACAGTCCAAATAATGGCCGATATATATCCCCCTTAGAACAAATATGGTCGATGCAATGCATCACCCTTAGCACAAAATAGTCAATGTCTTGACATTGTTGTTTTGTTATGTGTTTTTAAGACTTGCATGTGCTTCACTTTAAAAACAGGGGCAGATGTTGATAGCAAAAAAAAAAAAAAAAACAAGGTTGTGTTTGAACTTGAGAAGAAATTACAAATGAAAAGGATCGGGCTAGATTTGACCAAGTTTACAAAATCTAGGAAAAACCAATCCAGGCCAGTTTATGGTGATGATCGAACTAGGTTGGTGGAACTGGCCTAGGTTGGTTTTGCCTATGAACCTTCCTGATTTCTATCCAAACTACTCCAATCTCGTAGGAAACTTGTGGATTGCGACTTTGGAAGGTTTTCTATTAGGATAAACCACTCCCTCTATAGATATCAGAGTATCATGGTTGATTAAGATAAACTAGACACAACATATTAAAAATCAATCTACTAGTCCTTTATCGTAAACTTATCTCTACCAACCCCTTGTTGTCCAACATTTTTCTCAATGTGATCCTTTGGCGTTCTAGGTAGCCTTGCCAATCCTAGAGCAACCTCATTGTGCCCCTCCAAGACGGGTCGAGCATCAAATTAATCTGTGACCATCCTGCTAGTAGGCCTTGCTACATTTGGATTTTCTCGCTGCGAGCTAGGCCGTGTGCGGCTTCAAACGTGCCAGTCCTCCCTGATTTGTGAATCAAATACGCGTTGGTAAGACTATTCATGAGTTGCATGAGAATAGGGTTATTTAATGCCCAGCAACGAATAGTGCAGGCTACATGGGGCGGCGCCCGCCCCATCACGAGCCACCAGTGTCGTTGACAGGGTGAGAAAGAAATAGAGCAGATCAAGGGACGAGGGGAGAGAGGATAAGTGCTCACCATTACTCTCTTGTGCTATGTTAGTTTAAGGGTGGATTAATTTGAGGAATGTATTTTGCCTTGTTTTGATAGTCTGGAAGACGGAAGTGTTAGGGTCGAAAATTGGACTATCATGATAGTCAATGAAAAATGAACTTTACCCATTTTTATTATTATAGTTTTCTATATTTTAACATTTCAGATTTAAATGTCCATTACTATCATATTCCTATAGCTTCCCTACCATTTTTCACGTGAGAAGAGCAAGGAAAAATCATTTATATTTATGGAACAAATGGAGAACAAAATTGGTCGTTGCAGAGGAAACAAGTGAAGGAATTGGTCAAATATGAAAGGAGTACTAATTAAACATGCAACTGAAGCTCACCTGTGCCTTTATGGCTACCTCCGTATGTAAGATACCTACCCATCTGATCAAAGAAGCCGTTTCTTACATTCTCTATCACTAAATGCCAAGCGTTTCCTCTGGCTTCCCTACCATTTCTTCTGGCTTCCGTGTCGATGGAGAAACCTAAATATTTATATATTGATAAAAACATGAGTTTGATACTACTATATGTTCTTGTAGGTATTTATAAGCAAATATTGGACATTGATGATATCCTAACTAGCTTATAGTTGGGATTGTGTTTACTGAAAATCATGTTATCTGAACTATAAACCAATAGACTTTCCATGCAAGTATAATGGATCCGTGCATAATTCAAATGAGCACAACTACCAGAAAGGAGCATTTTTATCCACTTCCCCTATATTTCAGGTGCCTAACTTTTTATTATTGTTCAGACAAATTGTTTGATTGTAGAAAAAATGTGAATGGTCCCTTGTGAGTCGTCCCTTTAATTGTATTAGTTTGTTGTCTAAGATAATTGCTTAAAAATTTAGACACCTGAAATATAGCAACTCTCTTTTTTATCAACTTGTACTACACACTTTGACCTTTTTTTTGTCTCGTCAAAGAAAAGGTGGTAAAATTCAATAATATATTTATGCCTTCCAAAGTTTTGGCCACAAAATGGCATTTTGGTGCACTCCGACTTCTTAAACCTAACAGAATGACACTTGGACAAAAGGTCTTTGTTTAGGTCCACTTATTGGGGTCAGAGTGGGTTCAATAATTCAGATACAAGTTTATTCAATTTGCTTGAATGTTGTTGGTAATTAGTGATTAGGAATTGAAATCCCATGTTTTGAGCACCAGTAGTGTCGGGTCAAGACACCCGGGTATCTAAAGGCGCCGAATGGAAAGCCGCTCGGGCGGCCATCTAGCCAAAGCCTAGCAACTACGACCCACTTAAAGCCACACAGGCCTCGGGCCGATCACCAAGACACGCAGTCCACCGCGACCTCCTTCTTCTCCTTCTATTGCATGCCACGCCATCGCGCTTGACCTCCCCCCGTCTTGACCCCCAGGAAAGGACAGGGAGAGGTTGGGTGCCATCGAGTACGCCAGCCCTGATAGAGACAGGCACACTCTGCTCACTCTACCAGGATGGAGAGGACAACCATCTCTCGGGATCCGAGATCTCGCGGCAGGCGCCATCTCCTACGCACCTCTGCGCAGACAAGACAACACCGTGGGACGGTGACGACTGGTACGGCACCGCACCGCCCAAATTCAACCCGACAAGATGGGCGTGCGGCCCCACCCACAACAAAATGGGTCACACGACCATGGCCTTGTCCTCACGAGACTAACCAGGTCACCGGGAGCCTGGACCCAACGATCTAGGGTCGAGGTCCACAACGCCACAACCTAGGAAGGCGATCACCACATGAAGAACAGGAAACGAGGACGAAGGCAACGACATGACCACACCGCGCAGGACAGTTGGTGAACCACTACCATGCCTACATAGCCATCACGACCAGCACTGTAGCGCCATGCCATGCCATGCCATGGCGTGGGGAACAAGATCACGACGACCATGACGACCATGCCTGAACGTGTGATGACGCTAGGACAAGACAGGATGGATTGCCGGCCAAGTTTACTAGCTTCTCCCTCCCTCGGGCTCTCGACCACTCGGGTCAGGAGAACCCATCTCTCCATTGTAACCTGCCCCCGAACTCTATATAAGGATGGCTAGGCCTCCCTTCAAGGGGGGAGAAAACCTCCAAGACTCCACTCGGACTTTTGATCTACCGATTCCTCCTACCTCGAATCCTTTAGGATACACACCCCCATTGGAAGTCCTCAGAGCACTTGAACCGAGGAACACAAACTCGCAACCCTCTCTAAGACTGGACGTAGGGCTCCAGCCTAAACCAATAAAATTTCCCTGTGTCTTGAGTGCTACCATCGTCTTCCTATAGCAGCGCGACACTCAGAAATTTACTCGTCGGTCTACAAAACACCGGCATGTAGTATTTTATTTTCTTGATAAAAGTGTGTTAGCCATATGGATGTATGGCGATGCATAAAAATAGAGTAAAATGCACGAGCAGTCCATAACTTGTATCATGGTGTTACTCGGGTTACTGAACTCTTAAAATGTTTTTTAGCTAGGTACCCAAACTTATCTTGGAGTCTATCTAGGTCTAGAACTCTTAAAATTTTATTCCTACACTTTCGAAATTGTCAGTGTGTCATCTAGGTCCAAACTAGCTGCAACTAGCCCACATGTTGGTCTCTAGTGCTCCATCTACATGCTCTCCCTCTCTCTTCTAGCTCCATATCCATGCTATCCCCTCTTTCCGCTTTTCAATCTAGTGTGGCATTGAAATACATTCACCAACTCACCATCCCCAACCCAAGCCTTCATATCATCCTCCACGTCATAGGTCACAACATTATCAGTAGTGATGGCGACAAGGCCAAAATTAGGGCTCCTTTGGCGGAAGAGGTAGTCAAGTGATTACTTTACCATTAAGTTCTGGCCCTGTCAAGAATGAGGTGTTATCCAACTGCTATGGCATGTGACATCATGATGGGGAGTAGATTGGGTCTATTTGGACCAAAGTGACACACTACATATGGCAAGTTTAGGAACCTAGATGATATACTGAGACAACTACCGGGATCCGGGACCCAAAAATAGCATTTCAAAAGTTTGAGATCTAGACTACACACAAAGACATGTTCAAGGACTTAAATAACACCCCAAGATAAGTTCAGGTGTACTCTTGAAAATATTAGTAGAAATTATGTGACCTTATCTTGATATTGTTAATTGAATTTATCTAACATAGTCTCCATGTTAACCTACATGAGATGCGCCGCAAAAAATGATAGAACCTAGAAATTCTCATAAAGATCATAAAGGTTGGGCCATTAGTTCGGTAGACTATAATCACCTTTAACAAGCTACACTAGTAGAGAACAGACCTTTCATCCGATGTTAAAATGGGCTCTAGTCCCGGCATTTTTTGCGCCCGGGACTAGAGAGACCTTTAGTCCCGGTTGGTGTCTCCAACCGGGACTAAAGGTCCCTGCCCAACGGCTCTTGGCAAGGACCTTTAGTCCCGGTTGGAGACACCAACCGGGACTAAAGTTGGATCTTTACTCCCGGTTGGATCCACCAACTGGGACTAAAAGTCCTCAACCTTTAGTCCCGGTTGGTAACATCAACCGGGACTAAAGGTAGACCCTTTAGTCCCGGTTGGTAACACCAACTTGGACTAAAGGACCCTTTAGTCCCGGTTGGTGGTTGGTAACACCAACCGGGACTAAAGGTCCCCCGATGGGTTAGTTCAAAAGGGAAGCATCACATCCATTGTTAGATGTGTTGTGTAGGTGGGGTGGTAAGTTACGCGCGAGGCAATGCATGGGGTCTTGTGTTCGAATCTCACGGGACGCAGCGGTGGGAGGCATTATTTTTTTTAAAGCTGGGAGGACCTTTAGTCCCGGTTGGTGTTACCCCGGTTTCTGACCCGGGACTAAAGGACCCCCCTTTAGTCCCGGATGCTTACTCCCGGGTGGGGAACCAGGACTAGAGGGGGTTCCTCACCGGGAGTAAAGCTCTGTTCTCTACCAGTGCTATATATAACGTTTTCCAAAAATATACGTATCTTTGCCATTATAAAAAATAACATAAAGTAACCATCTAAATCCACATTTAAGTCGTTACCAACAAATTCCATTATGCCATTATGAAATAATATCTAAAGTAACCTTAAATTTGCACACAATGCCATTATGATAGATAATCTAAGTATAACCCCTTAAATTTGCATCTAAACTATCACTTTTGTAACCACTAAAGATAAACTAGAACATCCCATAAAATCTACATTTAAATAATCAACATCATTTGGAGCAAATAGTGATTCCTTTGCACCAAAGGTGGCTATGACCTTGGTTATCTTTGATATTTGTTGGGAGTAACAATGCTTATTAGTCTGCAACATAGAATCCTTTTTAATAAAATATAAAAGGAAGTTTTCATTAAAGTTAAAATAAGAACAAGAGTTTCATCTTAATTTGAGAATAGAAAATATAGCAACTAAAAAGATAAAAAAATTAAAAGTCAAAATCCATATTTATGATGTCATAAGACGTGGGCTGCAATAAAAGACACTATAGTTTAAGCTAAGACTTCAACTAAATACATTTTAAAGACAAGTGGAGGCGCCATGTAGAGGGATAAAAACTATGGATATTGATGCAAATACAGAGTATTCCGTCTGCTCACAAAATCATGTCACTTAGGAAAAGATTTGGTGCAACCTTAAAACTTACAAAGACCAATAGATTCTAAATTATTCAGTTTGGGACTACGTAAGATATATATAGGTTTGTAATGGAAAATACTTGCAAAAACTCATAAATTTGAAGAATTTTAAGAATACATTTTTAGAAGATATTATTGATCAAATATGTGGCATAATAAACCGTGCAAAGTCGAGTGTGATAATTATTTTTGACCAGGGTAATAATGGATAAACTAATTTTTAAAAGTTGTAAGTATTAACGAACTTCTAATGATTATATCTTCTAAGGTTCTAGCCTGTACAAGAGTGACATATAGTAATTGATAAGTTTACCACTACCTGATATTGTGTTTGAAAATAAACATAAGAAGAGCACAAAGATAACTATTTTTTATTAGCTGTTGGTCTTTTATGTCTTTTATGACTGTAGCTTTGTAGGAGCACAGGTTGATGGACTTATGTAGAAAAAATAATTGGGAGCACAAATCCTACTTAAGCATGCTTACAAATAAGAAATGCACATATATAAATAAGGCAACCGGGTAAGGACCTTGTGGTTGCAGTTCCTCGAGTGTGAGTGATTGGGTAACGTGTTGAAGAGAGAACCGATTCCTGCAAATTCTTACAGCGAAGCACTACATCACTCCAATGATAATCTATGGAATCTGATTAAAACTGAAAAGGATTTACTCAACAACCTTTGAGTTGGGGCAGCATCATTGCCCCCGTCCTCATGTACCTCATTGGTATCCTGTTAGTGGAGGAAATTTCTCAAGACATTGTTGACATATATATACTCCGTATGAAGTATGAAGGGACTGATGAAGAGGGACGACATCAGCTAGTAGAAGGACTATTCGTCTGGTAACAGATATAAAAAGAAGGCGAGCAATGTTAGTTTATCTCGAAGTGACCTGCCGGGCGCCGACGGCGGCAACAAGGGTGATCATGGGGATTAGGTTGATGTAGCGGTCGATCTCCTCCTGCGCCAGCCGAAGCTTGGAGGCCACCTCCGCGCCAGTAAACATCTGATAGATCTGGCTTGTGTTCTCTTGTCGCTGGGCGCAGGACCTGACGAGCTTGTACGCACGGAAAAGAGAGGCGTCCAGCAGCTCCAGCGGCCTCCGCGTCTCCAGGTGCTGCCTGAGCGCCGGGATGTCCAGCTTCCGGAGCAGATCGGCGACGATCAGAACGTGCTGGGCCAGCTGCTGGCACAGATCCCTGTTGCGGCGTGCGGTGTGCGCTGCCTGCACGATCATGTTCACCAGGCCGAACGCGTCGACACCGGTGACCTGCATCACGGTCGCCGCCTGCCCCACCCTATCCCAGGACGATGCCATATATGTATATGCAGTTTCTGTTTGAGACTGACTTACTAACTGCGAGCATGTCGGATTACAAGCGAATATACGAGTGATTAGATTCAGCAACAAAAGTAAGTATCGATCACGGAGCAGGCAAAAATTATGGCACCTTGGAAAGGACACCAGGTCGAGCAAAGATTAAAGCTCAACCTTCATCGCTCAACTGGATTTGCAGTTTTGCACTTGCAGCAGCAGCAGCAGTTCTTCCTCCTGCTAGTTTGTAGACCAGATCCAGGTCAACGCTGTGAGAGACTGAGAGCACGGTGAGCCCTTCTTCCTCTCTCGAAAGTGTTGTCCGGTCGTTGGAGACTTGCGTTCCCAGGATGATGACTAGCTAAAACGCGTCTGAGAAGTCTGTAGGAAACTTCAATTCCGGTATCCGGAAATGGCCCGTATACCTGACTCCTTTGTCCTCACATGACAAGTGCTAGGGTCCTTGAGCCAGACCAAGGTATATACATATTTTAATCATGCACAATGTACACATTGGGCGTTGTAATTTTGTCGCTTTTGCCTCTTCCACTTGTCCATAATTCTATGTCTTCTTTTTATTTCTTCGTGCCTCAACATTTCACCTTGCGATGGCCAATTGGTTCTAGAAGATAAAATACGATTAATATCTTCACACCTTATCATTCTCAAACAAGTGACCAAAAAAAACTTCGAACAAAAAAATTAATAACATTCTACAAAATACCGTGGAGGATGTAAGGAAAATGGACCTTAGACCCATTTACTTTGGACAACCAAATTGGACTAATAAATTTGCAAGTGCTTGTTTTGTAGTTCAATAGGGTGCAAGACGTGGCCTGGACGAAGGCGATGTGATGATTCGATGATCAACACCATAAGCAAGACCTTAAAAGCAAAAGGGAAGGCCCAAGATATCAAGCAAAGTCCAAGCACGAAGATAGGAACTAAGCTGGACGCAAGATCACGAAGAAACGAGCCCACAAAGATGACCGGACGCTGGTAGCACAGTGACCGGACGCTCCGATCAGAGTCTCGGCAGCAGCATGTGACCGGACGCTGGAGAAGCAAATCGACCGGACGCAGGACAGCAGAGTCCGGTCGAGTACAGAGAGGTTCCAGTGCGGCGAAACTGTGACCGGACGCGTTCGGTGGCAGGTGACCGGACGCTGGCAGCGTCCGATCAGTTGATCGCGGCTCCAATGGTCGGGACGACCGAACGCGTCCGATCAGGACGACCTGAGCGTCCGATCAGTAGCAGAAAAGCGGAATTTCGTCCCCAACGGCTACTTTCTCAGTGGGGCTTATAAATACAACCCCCAACCGGCCAAATGAGGGGTGTGGAGCTGAGGAAACATATCTAGGGTGTTGATACACCATTTTAGTGATCTCTACTTGCATAGTGCTTAGTAATTCATTAGGTGATTAGCGTAGGTGCTTTGCGAAGTGCTTAGGGTGATTAGACCACCGCTTATGTGCTTGCTCTAGGTTTAGGCCTAGTGTTTAGTGAGGTTTGCATAACTTTTACCACTCGGTGTTTGCGCGCACCAATATTGTACATCGGAGGGCCTTGTAGTCTTGCGAGATCACACCAACCACGTTTGTGGTGTGGTAGCCACCGTGTACCGGAGGGAATAAGGCCCACAGCGTTTCGGCCGGAAGCTTGATAGTGAAGACGGCAGGAAGCATCCGGGAGAGGCTTGCTGGAAGGCACGTCGGAGACCCACTTGCGCGTGGGGAAGGCCTGAGGCTATCCACGGAGTTACCCGACCGGGAGCTTGGTTCTTGCGAGGGATTCCTTATGTGGGGCTCCAACGAGGACTAGGGAGAAACTTGCACGCTTCTTGATACCTTGGTAAAAATACCGGAGTCGTCGACGAGAGTTTGCATATCTCTACCTTGCTCTTTAACTTCCGCATTTTCATTCATTGTATTACTCCTTTTGTGGTAGAGATAGCAACACCTTAGCAAAACCATAGTTGCACATTTAGATAGTTTATCTTTTGCATAGATATTGCTAAGGATAGAAAAAGAGGCCATAGTTTAGATTTAGAATTTTAAGTTGCCTAATTCACCCCCCCTCTTAGGCGTCACGGTTACCTAGAAGTGGTATTAGAGCCGGTTGGCTCAATTTGGACTTTTGGCTTAACCGCTGTTGAGCCGACGCCATTTAGAGTGGTTGAGATGGATACCTCTAGGCCTCCACACTTTGATGGCACTAACTTCCCTTATTATAAAGCTAGAATGGCTTGTTATCTTGAGGCGGTTGATTTGGGAGTTTGGAGAGTCACTCGTGACGAGATGAAACCTATTAAGAATCCTGATAAACCCACGAAGAGTGAAGAAAAGGAAATTTATTTTAATGCTAGAGCTAAAAATTGCTTGTTTGAATCATTCAGTATGGATGTGTTTAACCAAGTGGTCACTTTAAATACGGCACATGAAATTTGGTTAAAACTTCAAGAGCTCCATGACGGCACATCAAATGTCTGTGAGCAAAAACATTGTCTGGCTAAACAAAATTATGATTCCTTTACAATGAATAATGATGAGCTTGTTCGTGATATGTATTCTCGTTTGAATCTAATTATCAATGAGCTCCATTCAATAGGACTAACAAAGCTAGATGATGCGGACATCGTGAGGAAGATCATCTCCGTGCTACCACAAAAGAAATATGCAAGCATCATCACCATCCTTCACAACATGGAGGACTTGAGCACCATGACCCCAGGCATAGTCATTGGCAAGATAGTGGCATTTGAAATGTCACGTAAGATGGAGTCAAAAAGAAGCCTCTTCATCAAGCAAAGGCAAAGCTCCCGCATGTAGCGAGAAAAAGAAGATGAAGGGCAAGCAAGTTGAGACAAGCTCAAGCTCAAGCTCCTCAAGTGAAGATGAAGAAGAAGATGAGGATGATGATGATGATGATGATGATAATGAATCAAGTGATGATGATCAATCTTCCTCCTCCACCTCCGATCTTGATGAAGAATCAATCAAACTAATCAACAAGGTGGAGAAGATGATTCAAAGGCTAAATGTTAAGGGTGTGCCCATTTAAATTCAAGATCTCATTTTCACCAATCAAAGAAATGAGCAAAGAAAAAGGGGATGCTATGGATGCAGTGAGTTGGGGCACTTTGTGAAAGTTTGTCCAAACAAGCCCACACCCAAGACAAAGAAGAAGGCATGCAAGAACCAAGCCCTCACATCAATAAGGTCATGGGATGATTCTTCAAGTGAAGAAGAACAACATCACAAGAGGCGAGGGCGCAAGCACTCATCATCAAGCTCTTCTCGTATGTGCCTTATGGCACAAGGTAACGAAAGCTCATCCTCTAGTGAGAGTGATAGCGATGATGAAATGCCTTCTTATAATGAAATTGTGCAACAAAATCTTAATTATGCTAAAGTTTGCACTAGTCAACAAAAGAAGCTCAAAAAATTAAAAGAAAAGCTAGATAGTTCACAAGAAGCATATAAAACTTTACTTGAACAATATGAGAACTTTGCTAATCTCAATGTTGAACTATCTACTAAAATTGAGCAACTTGAGGCTAGTGCAATAACAAATGCATGCACAATCAATGATGAGCAACTTGTAAAGAAAAATGAAAAAGTAAAAGAAAAGTTAGCTAGCTCACAAGATGCTTATAAAAGTTTGCTTACTAAAATGGAAATCATGTGCAAACATTGTGATGAGCTAACTAATAAAGTTGCTAATCTTGAAGTCGTTAGTACAACCCCTACCAAGGCATCTAAAAAGAAAAGTTATATCTTTAACGTGCCTAAAAAGGATGCCTCTACTTCTTGTAATGATTTATGTTTAGACTCATCTTTGTACAACCAAGTTTGTGTTAAGAAAGTTGTTGTAGATACATGCACACAAGAGGTTGCAAAGGAGAATGAGCAACTCAAGCAAGAAGTAGCTCGCCTCACCAAGGACTTGACTCAAGTGAAAGGCAAGATGAAGCAAGCCCAACTTCATCAAGATAACACCGTCAAGGGAGTGAAGAAGCTTTATGAAGGACAAACCATGGTTTGCTACGTGTGCCACAAGGAAGGCCACAAGTCGTATGAGTGCAAGGTGAAGAATGGGGGAGGAGCAAAGAAGAAAGAGAAAAAACAAACAAGCAAGCTCACCAACACCTACACCAACAAGGTGGACAAGAAGGCCTCCACACCATACTTGTTAAAGAAGAAGAAAAATGACACGGTGGTGGCCATCAAGGTGAACAAGCAAGCCATCAATGGGGTCAAACACTTTTGGTAGCCAAAGGAAATCATTTCCAACATGAAGAGCACCAAGAAGGTTTGGATCCCGAAAGAGAAGTGAGAAGTCCGATGGACTCCGGGGAATTTGGAGACTTGGCAAAGTATGGGTGCATTTCATGGGGTGCATTATGATGGACAAAATCATTGCCAAGTGGGTCAGTGAATACTATGGACCCAAATTCCCCTTCCCATGTTAGGTAACTAGATTCAATTTCCTTCAAGTAGTATCAATTTGCATTTCCTACAAGTGGTATTTCTTACAAATTGGTATCTTTAAGCATCTAGTTACTTTTCATGCCTATGTTTGCATTTGCATGCTTATATCTTTTGTCATGCATACACTAGGTATATCTTATGGTAGGCTTGCTCGGTTTCATTCTTAACCCTTGAAGCAAACCTACATGGTTTAAAATTGTTTAGGAGCACGACACATAGCTTGTCTTTTGATTATTCATCTAATATGTGCCAAAGTCCAAATTATAGATAATTTCTCCTGAATATCATATTCGAAAATGATTCTCACATTCATGAGATGTCATCTTTCAAGTGGTATTATTGATTCTAAAATCAATGTGCATGACTTCTGCAAGTATCCCATACTTATGTGCACAAATTTAGGGGAGGTTACTCTACAAGTTGGATGCTTTGAGACTAACACCTTTTCAAGCTTATCATGTGTGTAGTAG